CGAAATGTCAAGTTATACTGCTAGCATAGGTGTCAGCTGATATATTGAATAAGGGCACCACCTTGTGCACCGCGCACTATGGACGACACATCTTCCTTTCTCCAGCTTCTTGCTTCCCACTATTGTCAATCCTCTCTGGCCCGTACCTGAGACGTACATCCACGTTTCGTACCCTTTGCTTCAATCTCCTTTTCTCTCCACAAGCAACACCTGAGTTATGGGCATGCTCTTCCGTGGAGTGAGCGATTGAAGATCGAAAAGGACTAATTCATCACTACAATCCTTTACGTCTTTACTTATGTATTTCGAGACAGTTATAGCTCACTAAGTGACTGTATTTTATATATATGTACTTGTGTGGACTGAATTCCTGTTTTTATGCATAGATGTATGCATACCTTACAACATGTTTGTATTTGTTTTGTTATTTCCCTTCGCGTATGAACGAGCTTAGCCATTTAGTCCGCGACATACCTCGACTTGTTACTGCAAAAGAGAATTCGATAAAATATTAGCGCTTGGCATCATTCAACCATGTGGTAGCTCTCGGTCTACATTAATTCAAATGGTTTGCTAAAAGTCTTCTGACGAAATGGTGTTGTGCGATGATTACCAAGCTCTAAACAAAGAAACAGTATCGAATTTATACCCACTACCACATAAACACAACTTCGCTAGAAATTTGCCGGATGTTTAGGTTTTCTCCGAGATCGACCTCTTAAGAGCAGATAGTGTAGAAAATCTGAGACGACCGAAGACTGTTTTCAAAAGACTTCAGCAGGATTGGATGGCCAACAATAAATTTGACATCACTGAAATTTCTTGGGGATCTGATCAGCAGCCAAGGAATCTGGCCAGTCCCTGATGGTGTGCAAGCTATGAAAGGTTACCCACTTCCACCCATCTTTTAAGTAATTACTACGATTTTTAGTTCTCATAATTGTTTTGACGTCGTTTCATTTTCAGCCGTGCTTCATTTTCCCGCCCACTAACAGACTGATTATACGGATGTAGCCATTCATTTCACTTCCCAGTCGAAGCCGTTAGGCCACCCAGTAGTTTGACCATAGGGAAAGTTAATTGTCAGAAACAGCATATTGCTCAGTACCTCTCAGTTATTCGTCGCGGTAACAAAATGAGTTTCACATAGTTAATTCAACCAATTACACAATACTTTCTACAAAATATATAACTGCACACTTCTTATTTAATAAGGAACTCAAGTTTGAGATTTACAGACTGACAGGAGGGGCATTATTATATTGTCCACAGAGGCAGAATTATTGAAGTACATGAAGTCATAAAATGAACTATTTGAAATATTCACACTACAAAGTAATGAACCGCATTTTCTTCGATTTCCGTTTTGCTACAAATGCAACATAAGTCTACGTTCCCTAGTCACTGTACATGATTATGTTTCTGGGCACTGCTTTTGTAATGTTCTGAGAAGCAGTATGAAAACCGTGGTTCACAATTTAAAAAATTTCGATTCAAACAAGAAGTGCACTAGAGTTCAATGAAGTACAAAAGGTCTGATTAGCACAAAGTGGAAAATGGTAGCTGAAGTACAATTTCATTTTTCAAAGGAGAAAATCTAAGACTAAAATAGCTTCTTGGATTAAGAATTTGAGGTTGAGGTACAGTCGATTTGGTTGCAATTCATAGTATTCTGAGTTCACCTACCAAACTTCCGGTAGCAGCACCAGTTTCAAGACCAATGGATTAGTAGTCTTTAAAGCTGGTACGATACCACTAAACAGTGAGTATACGTAACGCATCAAACCAATTTTGGTGTATCTATATGTAAACAAACAAATGGATGCCACTAATAACTTTTTGGAGTTGAAATGATTTTCCTGAAACATTTTGCATTCAAAAAGACCACTTCTAAAAGCCCATAGCGAATTACAGCTGATAGAAAATTCACCAGCTGAGTATATTGTGTCATGAAACGCATCTATCTGAAAACACCAGCAAAGCCTGAATGAGGCTCAGTGAATTCTCTAAATGGAAGCTGATGAGAAAAGAGTCAAACCGCGGACTCCTCAAAAATTACCGTCACATCATGCAGCCACCCAGAGACTGCCTCATATTATGTAGCTTCCTGATGTTGATAAGATTTGTCAGAATGTCAATCACATACAATCTGTGGATGGTTTAGTTCCCATTTACCTGCTAGACATAGCAGGAGTATATTTCCTTATTATCATTTTAGATGACGTGCATCTTGGTCACACAACCGACTGGCTCTCTAGTCTGACTCACTTTTACTTGGTGTTTAGGCTGCGTCTAACCCAGCTGGATTAATGAGGAAAACGAATTAGGAAGGAAATTAAGCATTCGGGATACCGAGAAACTGTTTCAATACACAACCACAACAAATTCAAACCTCGCTGTGCTGCTCACTCAGACTGTAACTTACTGTGACCATTACTTACCTCACTATGAAATGTGTGCTGACGAAGTGATCAGAAAAGAGGAATTATCCTAAGCTCTGATGATTCCACCTCCGATACTTATGCTTTTATAACTTTATTGAAAGCAAATATGAATGACTGCTGGTCCTTTAGCTGTATGAAGATGCTTTACATAGTATATCGACCTACCTCTTTTTATAAAGAACAGATTCTGTCTAAATACAAAGAGGTGCAGTCCTATGATGCTATTAGTGATAGTCTCAAGAGCTAAGGACAGTCAAATCGAGGAATGTCTACTGAGAAGTGATGTGCTGTGTACCAGTTCATAAAGCCCCAGTAACTCTTATCCGTTTTAAGTGCTACTCGCTAACTCCACTAGAGCTGTAGGCTGGATTCAGAAAGACATTTTTTACTCATGCAAACATACACCGTTGTCACTAAAATGACTGTACTCAATTCTGTGAAGTCTTCTCCTTAATACAGTATGTTGTTTGTCCGCTACAGAATGTATGAACAGAATAACTATTCACGGTCAGTCCTTGTACCAGAACTGTTTCACAGCCACCCACCGATAACCTGTGTGAAGCAGAAAAACTTCAGTTAATGTCAATTAGGTATTCAGTCAGTGCAAGCAAGTGAAGATTAGTCGAACCCAGCAAGGTCATATATCACACGGTGCCGTTCAGTAAAGGAAAGAACCGTTACAAACAACAGGTGTAGTAAATTCCCTACTTGGTTAATGATCCCATCCTCCGTTCCTTCTTAAACACCTACTGGTTGATAATAAAATATCGAAGCCTAAGTCAACTTTCGTCAAAAAATGACCCTCAAGAATCTATCAGACATGGGGAATGTTATGAAGGATCATTCTGAATCAAATCACGCCTACAGTTCTGGATTTTCCTAGGATAGATGCAGCATTCTAATTATTTCTCAGGTACTTTCTCTCTACATGTTTACTGTAATATAGGGTTATGGTTTTCAAGATTAAAGTTCAATTTTAAGGTTAGCATTAGGGCTAAAATTAGGGTTAGGAGGTGGGATTATGGTGACAGTTAAGAGGAGGTTAAAGAACATTGTCAGAAATATCAACGGATCTCAAAGTACTATGAACTACAGTCACCTGGATGAATGCATCTATCGTGCTTGGTACAGTTTCTCTACAGATCATCTATGTATTAACCCACAGAAATTCTTACAACACATAATCGACAGCTGTGTTGTGCAATATCATGTTTTCAGTGGTGTTAAGCGCATTTTTCATTCCGGCAGGTCACAGGGTGCAAATTACACCCTTGATGGCCAGAGTTGTGTGCCATCAGAACGCGACCTAGGTCTTATTTTAACAGAAAAGCTAGACACCAGTGTAAATTACACGAGGGACGTCGCCAAAGCTTACGCTACTTTACACTTTATGCATAGGCAGCTGGGAGCTCTTACTCCTGAACTATTCTTAACGTTGTATACGACATACGTGAGGCCACTCCTTGAGGTGCATAATATCATTGCTCCTCCGTTACTCAAAAGGGATGCTAACATTCTAGAAAGTGTCTAGAGACGAGCGACAAAATGGGTGATCGGCCTCCGCAACAAATCATAGGAGGAAAGACTGAAGAAATTAAGTCTTTTCACACTTAGTTACTGTAGTCACAGAGGAGAGCTCATCACCGTCTATAAGATCTTAAATGACCAGGCCCACCCTAATAAAAGCATCCTGCCATTAATTGATTATAGGCTTCCACGAGGTAACCCGCTAAGGATAGCACACCAGAGACCAAAGACTCGAGTGCGTTCACATTTCTTCTCGCCTCGAGTTTGCCGTCTCTGGAACGCTTTACTGGCAGCCGTAACTACAGCGCCATCTGTGGAGACTTTTAAGCGGAAGCTGGACAATCATGCAGAAATGCATGGTTTGTGTCTCAATAGCTTATCCTCTTAAAATTTGAAACCACATTGTCAGTGGATAAGCATACAGGCTAAATCCCCACGACCCGTCCTGTCTTCTCCCACTGTACCGACTACTCTATCTTTTCTTCCTTTCTTTATTATTTCACCTCTATTATTTCACCTTTATTATTTCACTTATCTCAACCTATATTATCTACACTACAACCTATTATTATTACTATTATTATTCTACTTTTATGACTACACCGAATGACCAACGGGTATTAGGTGAAACTCCATTCACGGCAGCAGCTGAGTCCTAACATACTGCACACTACAAACCACAATCTTGACCAATCCCCGCACCACTCCTCTTGGAGTCTACCAGAGCTAAAGCAGTCGAGTGGTGGGATTTACTTCGCATAAGTTCACCGAAGATCTGAAACCTCTACCTCACAATCAAGAAGCGAGCTCAAAGAAATCACTGGTTTATACTAGCTCGTAATCAGGATATTGGATATTGGACTATGTGACATATTTGTATCTGAATTTTGATTCGCTTGGCAAGGTCGCTGCGTTATTAGCTATTATAGTTTAACTTTGCCTGCAGTAACATGGAATCACCAGGCTGGTCATTTTACAGAATGCCACATGGAAATCACTATATAGGCTATTGTACGATTGTAAGTTGCACTGTAATCCACAAGGCCGCCTGCGAAGTTTCAAAGATTTCAAGGTCACCTTTATCTCATGATTCCTCACCATCCTCAACATCCTGTGCCTCAGTATCCTGCAGCAGGGAGACCTATGATAACTGGTAAAAGTCGAAATACACTGGTTTTAATTTTTTCTTATGAGATTGTTCTTATAACTTTCTAATACTTAATCAAATGTCAAGTTTTTAGAGTAGTGTTTTTCTTCAGTTTACCTTACTGATTTTAGATTATCCTTTAGTTAAAATGTTTGGTATCATTAGATATTTTGAAGGTTTACAGTTTTCTCCTTAGGTTTCTAGTTTATTTACGAGCTCCTACAAGTGCTGGACTACACTGTACTTAAATTGACATTGCCTAAACACCTAGCAATAAAATTCTTTTTTTAGACCATTGTTGTGTGGATAATGTAGACAAAGTATTTTTTGAACTCGTTATCTCCATTCCCTATATACTTCGTGACTAGTAAGTTTGGGAAGTTGGGTCAGCCGTTGGCAGATGTGATTCCCCATATACCTGGAAATTGTTTCGTAGTCTGTTCGCAACGGTTGAGCGTCAATTTGCGTTTCCACCCTGTTATTCTGTAATGTACAGGGCAAAGTTTAACTATAGGGTCCCAAGAGGTGTGATCACACGAGTAACCTTTAGCCGACCAACCATATTGGACTGAGGTATGCAGAGCAGTTGTATGAAATTGTTACGTGGAGTGAATGCATCACTATTAAATATTTTAAATGATCTTACTAACAGCTTTAAATCATGGATTTTCAACATATAGGATCCCTGATAAGGCAACCTACATGGCTTAAATCAGTAATCAAAACAGTCACGGATTTGGGTCATTTTTAGGTTGGTCATATCTTTTCTAGCCGGATTCTTGCTTGTTCCCGGTGATCTCGTCAGCTTTGACTACACAATACATGTACCTGTCATCTCGTTTAGCGAAAATTCACCCTGTACTTAATGGTGCATTTAACTTAAACATTACTTATACCCTTCGTCCACAGGACATGGCAAGCTAATGGACGAATGTTCAATTTCCTCTCTTACTCTATGCAAGACTTCATTTTGCCTACATCGCCTTCAAGCTAAAGTAGATGCGTAACAGGTCGTTCCTTCAGGTTTCTTGGCAAAAAATGCTTACAGCACTTATCATCGTTTCAAGCACTTCCCATACACGCTTACATACTTTAGAGTAGGATATCTTGGTGAGCATAATATCATTTCTTGACACTCCTTAACAGAAAAACATGCTAAAACCCATTAAAGAAACTAAATGCTACATTCCGTTCAAAAACAGTAGGCAAGTATGATATCCGTCTTCCTTAACTTTTCGAAGGGCAAAATTTACATCACTACACTCACTTGGGTGTAAAACCTATCTGGTCTTCGCAAGCTTGTTTCTTCCGATTTCTATGTATCCAGTGGAGATGTGATTCATTGACTTGACCATTAGACTTACAGCTGATGGATTTCAGTTTCGAACCCCACTACTTCCTTTAACCTGGGTGACTAGGCTGACATGCGATTTGCTTACTTCAAACGTAAGACGATACTACAGGACTGGACTATTTTGACTCCTAGTAAGATAGCATCTTGACCACTTTACTTATTCGGGAAGTTGCATCAACCCCAGTGTGCTAGCTGGTGACGAGATTTCAACAACGAAAGGCTCGCTTGCCATTTGCCAACATACATCATCTCTGCTTGTAACGACATAAAACAAGAACCAGGCAGCAGATCGTTTATTGAGAAAATCAAGAGATATTTATATATTCTTATGTACATTATTATTCATTATTATTGGCATAGAAGTAGCGTCTTGTGATTGGTCGTTTTCTCACTGGAAGTTATTCTGTCATCTCTTCGTGGCCGTTTCTTTGAAGGTCAGACCAGATGGTACGCGCCCACGCTAGGTTTTTGTTCTTGTTTTTCTCATGACCAAGATTTGGGACGTAAACGTTGACGTAAATTGCTGTCTACCAATTTTGGCTAGCAGACAGCTCTCACCACATGATGTAGGCACGATATCCGGTTATCGATGAAAGGACTAGTTCTCTCCATCATACTTTATGTTTGTGAGAAATGGTTATTAAAAGTGGAAGATATGAAAGGGTTAGCTGTCTTTGATCATAAGTTTCTCTGTTCCATCTCCTATTTTAGATGGCATAATAAAGTGAGTAATATTGAGGTCAAGCGTCGAGTGTTAGGTAAGGAGGGAAAATTTGTCGATGAAGTTGTCAAACAATATCGACTGAGATGGCTAAGACATGTATTATGTATGCCTAGCCATCGCCTTCCTCCACGGACAATGCTAACCGACATAGGATTAGACTGGAAAAGGGCTAGTGGGGGTCAAACCAAAACTTGATACCTCTTCAGGAAACGTTTAACAGTTATTTTGAGGTATGAAGGGAGAATTAGACTGCCTGGTTGAGGTCCTCAGGATTCTAAGAACCAATGGCTAGTAACAATTAGAGATATGGCTCAAAGTCATTCTCAATGGCACAGATGCATTCACTCTTCATGATCTGCGATATCCGACAAAATGCTATAGTTTTTCCCTGTTACTATTCTTTCTCCCTCCCATTTCTACTTATTAAGGTTATTCCGAATGTCTTTTTTCTCTTTTGTTTGTCTTTATGTGCTTCATTGGGTGTGGCAACTCGAACTGCTGCTCTTTCTTGCAAAGTTCTATGTTGAAACCAGTTAGTCAGTAAGAGTGACTGGATAGTACCATCAGCCTTCACACAATAAACGTGGCTCATAGCCTGAAACATGAAGACTGTCTCGGCTGGCTGAGTTCAAACAAATGGCTCCGTCTAAAATAGCCATGAGTCATAAGATCCTAAAAATTTATTACTGAAACAAAACTTTGTTCATTATGGACACCAAGACATGCACCACACAAAATCTCATAGTTTGTACTTGGGCTGGGATACTTTCCGGACACCTAGACCGAAGCAGGCGGTTCACTCAAGGGGTCACACCCCGACCTCTTACCTTGATGTCTGGTCCACCGGGCAGTGGAGTAGCGCCGGAAGCTGCGTTCCCATGGTTGCCTGTGACCAAAACAGGTTCATATGTCATTCGATTCTGGAGCCTATGAGCACCATAGGCTAGAATTCGGGGTTTTCCAGCTCCCCTAGGTAGATCTTCATGTCCACCAATCCAGTGGTAACCATCAGACGTTACCAGCTGCTTTTTTTTTCTCGTGACTAACACCCCAGTCTCGTAAAGACAGTGAATAGGACTTTCCAGAGGCTATACATGCTTAGCCAAATGAGGGCATTTTGAGAGGCAGACTGAAGTCTACCTACACGGCTGTACGAGGTGGTTTATTGATCGCACTCATCACTCTACTTATTATTATAATAATTCTTATCCAACCTAACTTTGTAGTATGGTCGGACTTCCTGGATTGTTCCAACGAGTATTCAGTTGTGGTCCATACAGTCATGCGTTAAGAATATCCAAATTTCTGAATTCATTTTTTCCAAACTTATCAGAGTTGCTTGTGTTGCAAAACTAGTTTCTCAGTGAGCCTGTTATTGCCCGCATACTGAAGTGACCTAGGCGTGTGTTATTCATAATAAAAGATCACTTGTTTCTTGAGACTCAGTAGCTGGTGTACTATGAAACTAGTTTCAATGGCCTATAAATCTTGAGCGACATGCTTAGAAGTGACCATAATGCATTTTACTTCCTACTATGTTTTAACAATTTGCTTTTTGTCTCTCCTCACATTGCTTATTGAGATATGTTTTTGTATTATATATGTCCCTTATTTTGGCTGGCTGGCTGGATTCAACATAGAACTTGGTACCGAAGTGCAGCAGTTCGAGTTGCCACGTTCCAAAGAGCACACAATGGCAGACAAGAAGATGAGTGAAGAGAATCAATAGAGTTTTGACAGGTATAAGAGTGAAACAGAATGAGTAATGGTAGAAAGGAATATGAAAGATTACAGAGACTGAATACATCTGCACCCTTGACAACGATTTTGAGCCATGTCACCTATTGTCTCCAGTCATTGATTCTTAGAGTCCCGAGGGCCCCAACCCGGAAGTCTGCATCTCCCAACCTGACTCAGATTAACTGTCATGGATTTCATAGATTGATTTATGCCATATTTTTGTTTGGCCACCACTTACTCTTTTCCAACCTGCACCTATATCAGCTAGTAATGGCCGTCCGTCGGGAGAGGCGATGGTTAGGCATGCGCAGCACGTGACCTAGTCATCTCAATCTATGTAGCTTTATAGCCTCTTCGATTGATTTTCCCTCTTTGCCCAACACTCTATGCCTAACGTCAACATTACTTACCTTATTATACCACCTAACGTGAGAAAGAGATCGTAGACATCTATGATCAAAAGCAGTCAACCTTTTCATGTCTTCAACTCGTATTGGCCACGTCTCACCGCCATAGAGAAGGACGGAGCGAACTGCTGAGCAGTACACATGTCCCTTGGTTGATAGCCGGATGTCACACCTACGCCAGAGACGGTGTAAGTTAGCGAAAGCAACCCGAGCTTTTTGGATCCGTGCTGGGATTTCGTCACCAATCAATCCGTTGGTGCTGATACAACTTCCCGAATAGGTGAAGTGGTCAACATGTTCTATCACTTCACTCCCTATCACTAAGCTAGGAGTTGACGTAGTCCAGTCCTGTAGCAGCATCTTACATTTTACAGGGGCGAATCGCACGTCAAACATACGAAGATTGCTGCTCAAGGTGTTCAGAAGACTCTGCATTTTGTCAGCGTCCTCCCCTAACAGGACTATGTCGTCTGCATATTCTAAGTCCATAAGACTATTCCCTGGTAACAAGTCGATTCCTAAGTCGTTAAGTTCAGTTAAGGATACTTCCATTGGCATATCTATGATGAAGTTAAACAGAAAAGGGGAAAGTGGACATCCTTGACGGACACCACTGGTTGTTATCAATTCAGATGACAATTCCCCATAAGCCCTTAGACAGCTACGTGAGTTTGAGTAGAGTGCCTTGATTAGTGCAATGTACTTTCTTGGCACTCCCTTCATAGTCAAACATTGGCATAGTACCTCTCGACCCACGGAGTCAAAGGCCGCCTTCAAGTCAAGAAATATGGCAATTGTTGGACGCCTAAAAGTGTGTCTATGTTCTAGGATCTATCGGAGAGTGAAGATATGATCTATGCACCCTCTACCTGGCCTAAAGCCCGCTTGATTTTCCCTCGTTTGTTCCTCCCGAGTTCGGCTAAGTCTGTGCATGATTACTGAGCCTAGGATTTTAGAGACTATGTTCGTTAGGCTGATTCCTCTATGATTATCACATGAGGACTTGTCTCCCTTCTTGAATACTGGTATAATAAGTGACTTACCCTAGTCTGATGGAACCGTCTCTGATTCCCAGACGTTACGTAGTACCTTAGTTAATCTGCATATTAGTATGTCACCCCCATATTTAAACACCTCCGGAATAATTCCGTCGGGTCCTGCCGCTTTGCCTCGTTTCAAATTACGGATAGCTTTTGTGACCTCACTTACAGACGGCGGGCCAGTTTCTATATCCCATTCGGGTGTGTGCTGGATGGTGGGGAGGCTCAGTGCGGCTGTAGGCAAGTTAAGTTGTTCCTCAAAGTGTTCTTCCCAGCATTCAAGACGTCTATCCTAAGAGCTAATTAAGGAGCCATTTTTCTCAGAAATAGTCTCACTTATGATTTGCCTTCTCCCACCCGTTTCCCTGATGAGTCTAAAGAGTTGCCTAGTGTTGCCTATCGCCGATGCTTTTGCATCTCTTTCCCCTTTGTCAACCACCACTGTTCACGGTCCTTGTGGAGACTTTTCGTAAGTTTCCTTTTGTGCAGCTTTCGCTCCTCATTGAATTCGGAGCTCGCCGGAATAAGTCTTCTAGCATCTATCAGTTCGAATGAGGCAGTCGAAATCCAATGGTTTTTACTCACCTTTGGATTTACCTTATTCACAGCTTTTACAGCTGTATCTATGGCTGACTGAATATTCTTCCAGGCTTCTTCAGGGTGAGCACAGCTGTCGAACTCAGATATGTGTTTAGCTAGTTCTTCCTCAAATAGGGACTTAGTTTCCTGATCGAGCTGGGGACGTGATGGGTTTACCGCCAGCTGTTTCCTACGTCCGTTCAGTCGTAAGCACACACGAGCGCGGACCAGTGCGTGATCGGTATCTACACAGAAGAAGCGACAATCCCCTACCGACCCACGCCAACGATAGCTTATTGCTATATGGTCTATTTGTGTCCAGCGTTGGTTTGATTATGGGTGTCTCCAGGTCAAACAGTGTCTCTCCTTGTGTTTGAAGTTAGTGCTTACAAAAAACAAATGATTATCTGAACAGAACTGTAGGAGACGGTCACCGTTGTCGGTTCGCTGGCACGGAATTCCGTATGTGCCACCGACATTCTTCTCAGATTGACACAATTTCCCTACTTGAGCATTAAAGTCACCAGCTAGAACGACTATATCTGAGCGTTTAGCCTCTCGCAGCAAACTAGACAGCTTTTGGTAGAACTCATCCTTCGTTTCATCCGAACTGCAGTCAGTGGGGGCGTAGGCGGAGATTACGAAAAGGCATCGGCGAGTAGTGCAGTCCTTTCTCCTTTTTACTGATCCGTTCAGACGGACAGCACATACTCGGCTATCTACCGGGATCCAGTCAAGTAATGTCTTTTCTGCCCTAGTACTCAAAGCTATCCCTACACCAGCTAATCCTCGTGAACTAGCTGTGGCATCTCCTGACACCCTCAAGGTGAATTTTGCAGATTCATCCTGTTGGCCAGGTGGGGTTAGGTGAATAACCACACTTGGGTCTTGTATGCGTGTTTCTGAAACACAACATACATCAATGGCTCGGGATGCTAGAGTCTTGACTAGTGATGCTTGTTGTCCTATTTGGCAAAGTGTCCTAACATTAAATGCTCCTATATGAAATTGGTGGCGTGGCTTTAGGAGACTATCGATGATGGCCTTTTGGCTTCCATCGTTATCAGTGCACACAGTGAAGAGGAAGTGAAGAGCCATTAAGGGGAGGAGTTGCATTGGTAGAAGGAAGGCAAGATAATAGAGATGAAGATGAAGACAAAGATGAGTGACGATTAGAGAGGTTTCGCGTGCACTTCGGATTGTGAGGGCGATTGTTACTTCCCGGCTGCCCACACCGTGGAAGTTGGTTGCGTGACCGCAGAACCCAGGGGACAACTGCTTGAAACCGGTCACACACGGCCTGTTTTTGTTTGTTGTTTTTCATTTGGTGTGTCTCAGTAGCACATTTATCACTTCTGCCCTGTGACACGGCAGCAGAAAGCGCGGTCGTTGTTAATCCGGGCCCCGACCGATCTGGCATGATATTTTGTGATTTATTTGAAGTCATAGGATTGGATTGGGTAACTGCTTTTAGGCTGACCGCTATCCAAACAACCTTTCTGGCATGGTGGGACCTACAGGAACGTAAGTTCCAGCCAGTATAGCTTGTTGGGTCATTGCGGTGTTCAAGCCCGACCATCACGTCAAGGTAGCAGCTTTCGGTCGGGATGTCCCTTATTTTACTATTTAAATGGTAGTTATTTGAATGGATGCACTTCAGAAACGTTCATATTAAACATTTGTTTACTTAAAGGTGAATTCGGTTTACTTATACAGTATGCTTGATAACCTAAGACTGAAACACAGTGCGTTTTCGACAGCGGTTACATTTTGTGAATAGCTTGTATTTTATTGTTACACGAATGTATGACATATTTTTAAACAAGTGTAGACTGTTTGTTGATATTATCTTTGTTTTACGATATTAAACACATTTTTCTAGATTTTTTACTTGGTGTAGTTTACTTTAATAATTTCATTCAATAAACACGTTTTCAGAGAATTATTGTCTATAATTAGTTCATTTTGTCTGAAGTGGTTTTCAACTAATAGTACTAGTTTTTACTGTGTGAATTACAATTTAACACAGTATCTCACATTACCATAATTTTAAGGTTGTACTTCCGAATAAATGTACATTAAATCTTTACCTTAACTTTAACAGGTGCTCGTGCATCTGGGCCGAGTATTCTGCCATCTATGGTCGGTCAGGATATTAGCCAAGTAAGTCAGCTTGGAGGGAGAAGGGTGTTACCAGCTGATCCACGTTTGCACCAAATCATCGGACGGGCCGCTGCTGCGTAAGTACCTGTTTTGTATTTGTTTGAACTTGAAATTCAGATGTTAAATTCGTTTTGCATTTCACTATTGTTATGTTTGGTCCCTAGTAAATCCAACCAAATATTGTAGCATCTACCGGTGTAATGTCTGCCGTTTACTTTTGAAAGATTGAAAAAATTACTTTAAATGCAACTCTGATTTAATAACTGATTAATGTAAAACCTCACAAGTTGATTGGCTAACTGGTCACCTGTGAGTAGATAAAGTGTTACTATTTCTAGAGATATGTGAAATTTGGTTGTCAGTTGTCTATAAGAAAGCTAGAGTGGTTCACCTTAGCATACTTTGTCTTCAGTGGTGTTCAGTGGCTCGGTGCAAATCTATCCTCTTTGTTATTGTAAATCCACATGGACGAGTCAGTAATGCCTAGAAACACTATTTGAATACTCTTGTTCCCATTATGTCTCTCAATTTCATTGACAGCATGATTCAACTGTTGGATCATGATACTGATTTAGTAGTTCAAAACTTCCACATAATAACCACTTGTCTCTATTTTTGTATGTGACTGGTGTTGTATCAACCTATTCAGTTATCTGACTCTAGGGGTTCCCTCCTAGCTAGTCTTGGTGCATCAGGTGCTAAGTCAAAAAAATTTCATCTCACGAAATTGAGTGGCAGAGAGAAAAAACACTGGTTGATGCAACGGTTTGGCTATGCTGGTAGCTTATGTTGGCTAGGAATAGGCCATAAACCAGTTTATACAGTTTTTATCGTAGCATATGCAACTGTCCATCCCCCGTCAGTGATTTAGACAACGAATGCGTCTCGACTTACATGTAACACTTCGACTAGTTTTAATTTCCATTACACTACCGAGTTGATATAGGGTTCCTCTTGAATTGCAACTAGGTTATAGCAAGGCACGTAGACAGTAAAGACAGATATATCCTTCTTATTACCAGTAACTTTATTCTTTGAGTTTTATCTGATGACACAGGGATGGTTATTAACGAGATTGTAGTCTAGTAGTGCAAGTTTCACTCTAGTAATTAGTGAACTGCCGGATAGGGATGCTCGATGATTCTGGATTTGTGACTCTCACCGCAAATGTCTAATTACTGTACTAATATTACATCTGAAGCAGACGATCAACAAGGCATATCACCTCTACAGTGGACTGGGTAGACATTTCTCGTCAATGATTAACTTTATATTTCAGTGTGCTTTCACTTGTACGGTGACAAGCGAATCAGTGTAGAACTTTGTACAAAAGTACTTCACCTTGATTTTTCTAAAAACCAGACAATTAGAAAACAAGTATAATGATATCACAGTAGACGAAAGTGAGCGTTAGCAAGAGAATAATTAGACGGAAATGAGTGAAGATGTTCACAATCCAGAAAAGGAAAAGAAATGAATACATCGTCACTATTGTGATAAACCTTAGAACTCCTTTTGGGCTTCAGGCAAGTCTTTTTACAAAGGGCCTTCAGTTATTGATTCTTTATATCTGGAGTACACCTATGAGCCAAACTTCAACCACCTATTTTTCTGTGACCAACAGTAAGTGGATTCATGGATTGAGAGCATTCTTGACCTGACTGATTTCTTTTTCCAACCCAACTAAACCTAATTTAACACTGTATTATAGCTGCTGAGGTGTAGTCGTTGAATTCTGTACGAATATTGACTGTCAGTTATCAATAGTATCACAACTTTCGAGTTAATTTCCTGACCCGGGCAATCAATGGAGAAGACACACTAAGGCTAATAGAAAAGTGTATGCAGGTAGAAAACTTTGAATTATATTACGTATGTGAATACTAAATATAGTATAAAATGATAGCATTAAAGAATTATATTAACTGGTTGTCTGCCAGTTTAACTGTTAATGATATTTAACACAAAGTAAATGTTAATTAGTCCATTTCTATATCAGAAAAGAGTTGATTTTATTTGGTTTAGAAACGTCCCGTCTTTTTTTCTACTTGTATCTGATCGACGCTGAACGAGTAGTTCTGTGTTTAACTAGAATTCACTAGTTGTTTTGACATCCTTTTCATGTAGTATCGAGAATGCACCTATTAGGAAGAAGCTGATTGGCTCGTATCACATTCTGCTGTCCTAGTTTGGGGTTTGTTTCGAGTCCAAGTCTCCAGTCCAGATGTGATATGATAAGTAACATTACCACATCCGGTAATCAATTTTACTATCCTCTTATTTCATCCTAATCTACAGTTTTTGGCTTATACTTGGGTCACATATATGATAAACTCTGCGGTGATTAGTAGAAGTCTTGTAAAACAAATAGTTGTTTGCTGTTCGCAGCCCTCTCACCATCAATGCTTCTGATGAAATTCAGTGGTTTACAAGTGTCTCGTTGGTGTTGTCGTGCTTGCAAACAAGACCTTTTGGATGATCTCTACGGACGTCCCTTCTCTTTGTGCTTTCACAACTCGATCAGAAGTATTCACAAATATTTTTGCTTAATGGTAAATTTTAATTTGGGGAAAGTTTATACTCTATAACATGTTGAGGGCAAAATCTCCGCAGCGTGCGAATGTAAACTTAGAACAGTCGTGAGTGGTAGTTTCGGCTCACTATGTTAGGGAAATGTACTAAGGAGGACTTGCAAAGATGCAGCGTGATTGGAGGGTCAATGTTAAGAACTGTCAGCCATTCCGTGTAAACATCAACTAAAATTAGATAATCGCACTCATCAATTGGTTCAGAAAAATCGACCACCCGTGTTCAAGCTGTGATCAGAAGATTAGTAGTGGCAGTTTAGGGTGCTCGACTCGTTGCTGACATTCTGCACATCTATTTAAATCATCAGCGATTCCCTTGTCTATCAGCATCAATGTCGGCTGATAGGATTGATTACATTATGAGAGTTAGGAGTAGTCAGGTCAAAACATGGCATCAATTCATGTGAAGTCTTTGACTGTTGTTGTCATCCATTTAGGGAGGTCTAGACTATGTGTCTGGAGTTCTTGTGCTGCTAAGGTCCAATAGCTGGAGATTGTTAGTGATATCGATCAAAATGGTTCTGAATAGTGCAGATGCACTTGTCCTTGTGATTTTCCAGATTTATTAAATTCTTACTTTTATCCATGTAATTATTCTGTCTCCCCAACATTTTCGTTTATCGTCGTTCGTTTGCATTTCTTTTTTCTATACCTGTATGTTTTTACGTTTTCTTTTTGCGTTTCAGTCATAGTATCTCCACGTAAGACATAACACTGGCAGTGAAAACTTTACATTTAAACGATTCACCTCACTTTAATTATATATCACTCAGCTAAGTCATGAAAGTTTGCAGATGTTTCGTTATCCTTGTTTCCAAATGATGACTAACCTTCGCTTTAGCTCAAGTATCGGCAGCACATAGATGGGGGTAAATAAGAGAGGACCTACCGATCAAGGTTGACAGGTCGTGTTATAAGCGTGTGGAGGCGCTGTATGAGAGTGGAATAAGATAAAACATTCACAACTACCGTTAGGGGTAGCTAGATTGTTCATTGTTGTTTTTAAATGTATACTACATTTTAAGGAAATGAAATCCTCTAGAATTACACTACAAAAAAATTTAGACAGTTAAGTTGTGTACTGCAAATACTGAACCACCTTTGCTTGAATGTTTAATGTAAGCTAGTGTACGGCTAGATAAAGAGAAAAGTAAACATAACTAAGGGGAATCAACAAATGGTTTGTCGGAGTGTATCTGCTGTAGTAGGGATTTTTGAGTGTTATTCGATCAACCAGTGTTAGCTCAAAATCTGTTTCAAGTGATCAGGTTAATTTAATTGTCTGAATGAACAAAGTTCTAAATAGCTTATCGAACTTTATTTACACTTCACACCTCATTGCTTTAATATACATTTCCACTTGCACCACTCCATTTTTGTGATGCTGTGAAGTGTAACAACTTAAATCACTGGATTTTTTTTTCTAGTTCACTTTGCTTACTTGCCAAGAAATATCAAATTTTATAAGGGTATAATGTGTAAAAAAAGTGCAAATTATAATCACACTCTCATTGCAACAACGTATTTGACGGGAACCTACTAGTTTTCTTTGAAAATCAGTTCATCTACACATTCACGATAATTCATTGCACTATTTTGAAGATTAGAAATATCTTCATATTAATTTTTACTGTTAATTAATGAGATAGTATACTTGTATACATGCTTCTGTAAGGTTGTGATCTTATCATAAATACAAGTATGCATAGGTTGTCGTCAACATTAAACCAAGCGTTACTGTACACTGTTTCAAGTTGCCATATACTATATTTGTATATGAAGTAGATATTGAAAAACAAAAAAAATGTATATCTAAAGCGCTATATAACAATGGAAAGAAGATAAAGTAGATGGAGAAATGTCAGGATAGATATAAATCCTGAAAACATTACCACCACTGAAATCGGCTCTGAACATCGTCACCTACAGCCTGTAGCCATAGTCTCTAGTAGTTAGGTAGATCTCAACCGGTTAACCTACTCTTTCCCATGCAGCTCACATCAACAGCTGTTGACTTCACGGTTTGGTTTCAACGTAAATTTATCAAAATATGTTGTTCAATGAATACGGTTTGTCTGTTTCAGTACCTAAATCTTCAGCAATGCAAAGGAAGCAAATATTCACCAATCGTCACAGGTTATTTCTGTCTTTGAAAATAACTTGTAACGAAGAACTTAATGACATGAAAGAAATGCTTTTGAGAAGATTTTCAATTGTTACAATTCTCAGAAATCCACTTCCACCTATTTGTAACCACTCACTTGGTAGCTAAACCATTATGCCTTTAGGATTTACCGTTAACAGGCTCAGCGTTAATGTCCTGTGGGTTTACCTTTACTCTGTTACAGTCTTGTTGATTTTTTATCATTTGGGTCTGTTGTAGTCATCATTATTTTTTATGAATCTGTCACAACTGTTGAGACAAGATTTTCTCACTATAATTACTTGATGCAGTTATAAAATGAATATTTCTTTATCTCTCAACTAAGCATTTGCTTATTTTAAATTTTAAATTATATGTCAGAATATAGGTAATATTGTCATTTATTGTATTCATTGATTACGAACAATGATTGTTATTTTAGGAAGCGGAAACGGCGTTTAGCTGATCGTCTACTTACAAAAACTGTACGTGAAATCATTCCAGAATCTGAGTCGTACATGGAACTTTTGGAAGTTGAAAAGAAATTAGATTTCGTCCTAATGCGTAGACGCCTCTCACTTCAGGAGGCAATGAAAAAGCCTTTTAAAGTAGTTTGTTGTATCACACTAACAGTTACTTGTATTGCAGGTGAAGCGTAAACTGCGAGTTATGTTGAGTAGTACTTTCAAACCCGGCTCCACAGTTGTACCTGTTGGATCTGATGGACAACCTACTCCTGGTGATTGTGCACCTGGTTGGGAATTGAAAGTTGAAGGACAGTTGCTTGATAAAGTAAGTTTTTACTGCAGTCAATTTTTTAAAATTAATGTCGACATCCTGGGTTTCTATTAACTCGGTGGAGTAACTGGTATTTTCTTTATTTATTAGCATAAAAGAACTGTAACAAGAGAATTTGTTTTTAGCTGGCTTTTTTTCTCAAAAAACCATACAGTGATACTTAAATGAGTATTTCACATCGTACGACAAGAAGCATCAAACATGGCTATATCAGTTTTCAGGAGAAGTATTGTCAAGGACAGGTATATTTGGTGGGTTTTCCCCGTATGACTCTAAGGAAATTACTTAGCTACCGGCATGTTATCACAACATAACAACTTTTAGCAAAGTGTATACTCATATAGACTGTTTGTACTAAATCATTTTAGTAGTTCAATAGCTCTCAAGAATACTAATGAATGAAGTTACAATCGACTTATAAATCAAATAATGAATTGAATTAGTGTGATTTTTGACGAGTCGTCAGCGAATCTGCTAGAGCAAGTATCTGGAAGTTATAAAATGTGATAACTATTGTTTAAATCTGAAATAATAGAGAAGATTTGTAGCTCAGGTGGATAATTTGCAATTAATAGTGTTCTCTGAGCTGGTTGGTTTAGTTGCGAAGCTTTCGTCGTCCTTCTGGACAACATCTTCAGCACCATATTTAGCACAAAGTGAAATGATTTAAATTTCTTCATGAGTGATGTAATTGCGTCTCCTGGTAACTATCTTTACATATGTATTGACCATTTTCTATTGACTCAAGCGAAAATGCAATTAACAAACACGTTAATATAGATGAAATATACCAACTAATAAAAAGTAAATCAGGTGATCAAAAAGTTTAAAATCCAAGTCAATAGAAAATGGTCAATACATATGTAAAGATAGTTACCAGGAGACGCAATTACATCACTCATGAAGAAATTTAAATCATTTCACTTTGTGCTAAATATGGCGCTGAAGATGTTGTCCGGAAGGACGACGAAAGCTTCGCAACTAAACCAACCAGCTCAGAGAACACTATTAATTGCAAATTGTTTAAATCTCTTTGAGTTATGCATAACTGTGTCTTTCTTCTTTTACGTCCCTTGCCAGCTTAATATGATGATAGTGTTTTTGATAATAGTCTACCACTAAAGCATTTGCATGCATTTAAAGCTTAAATATGTTTTTTCATCTCAGAAACAAATGGATTTTGAAATTTTTATAAAACACAAAATAATCGAGCAAAGAATATTCTTTTCGATAAATTCCTCTTCCAGGCTCTACAATTATATGTATGTTTATATACACAGAATATTTTAAATTAGTAGTTAATAACAATATTAGCGTTTTTTAAATAATATCGATTTGTAAAGTATGATCAATGCTATTACAGTTCATTAAAGATGCTTAAATTATAATAAAATAATAATAATAATGAAGATATAATAGCGAATAGAATATCAACTAAAATTAGGGAAATTTCACAAAAATTCTGGATTATTCAAACCTGGATGGCCAAGCTAATGAATGATAATGACTGAACTAACTTCTTTTGGGTGCATAAATTAGGCTTATTAATATGGATCCCCACAGCCTCAGCAATATTTAGAAGTCGAACTCTTAAAGCGAAATTGAGATTCGTAGGTATGCGGTGAATGACCCTGAAAGCATGATTAACGTCAATCTTGTGTTCTGTCTCCACAAGATGAGCCAGAATAGCGCTGCGAATAGATTTTGTTTGTCCTTTGCTTAAACAGGCAGGGTGATGTTCGGAAATTCGACGCGAAAAAGAAGTTAGTTCAGTCATTATCATTACCTTGGCCATCCAGGTTTGAATAATCCAGAATTTTTGTGAAATTTCCCTAATTTTAGTTGATATTCTATTCGCTATTATATCTTTATTATAATTATTATAATTTAAGCATCTTTATTGAGCTGTAATAGCATTGATCATACTTTACAAATCGATATTATTTAAAAAACGCTAATATTGTTATTAACTACTAATTTAAAATATTCTGTGTATATAAACACATATATAATTGTAGAGCCTGGAAGAGGAATTTATCGAAAAGAATATTCTTTGCTCGATTATTTTGTGTTTTATAGATGTCTGAATGAATATTTTTGCTTTATTGAAATTTTTGTTCTTTTAGCCAGGTCAACCAAGTAATAATGATCCTAAGTGTCGTAGAAAATTCTCGTCATTCTTTAAATCTCTTGTAATTGAATTGGATCGTGAGCTATATGGCCCGGATAATCATTTGGTTGAATGGCATAGAACTGCGACCACAGCTGAAACAGATGGATTTCAGGTATCACTATATCTTGGATTTAATGTATTATTTTTTCTGCATTTGAAAGCGTATATTTCAAATTGTTTTCTTTTAGTGGAGAAGAAGAAGAAGAAGTCTATAACCCTTTACATTCTGATAAGCTTGTTCATTGTTTGTATTAGAAATGGATAATACTGTATACCACTGACCAGTATAAAATCACACATATCAGTTAGTGAATTTTCTTGACTGTAAAGAAAAGATCTGACCACCTGTTTGTTTCATTCTCATCATGGATCAATAGTCTTAACTCTCTTTTTTACATTTACATGCATTCTACCGAAAAACCTAGAAAATATGTCTGAGTTTCAATAACCATAGTAATTTCAAACTCATTAAAGGGGGCATGTATAATGAAAGTCCAGGTGAAAGAAGTATTATTCTCCCGATGTTTCCGCTTTATCTTTGTTGGACGAATACTGGTTGGATTGAATGAGCACTTTTGGTTGTATTTTTTTGCAATTGAAATTCTTTGTTCACATAAGTGCGCAGAGAAAGTGTATTTCAGTCCAGCTTTTAGAGTGTGAAGTGGGTATATGCTATCTGGATAGCTGAGTTGGTTGATTTCACCAGATAACTGGTGACGATATTTGTTTATTGTGTGTGCATGTCTTGTTCTTCCCAATTTTCATTACTTTTCCAATTTGTATAAAAGACTGTTCGGAGACTAGTTGATTTTGTACTGTTGAACAACGGGAGTTGTTTATCCATAGAAGCAGATCTAAGTGTTAATTATTTCGTTACATTCATCCATGCACTAAACTCCAGTTATTGTTTTTGAGTCATGTAACTTTTATGGTTCTATTTGATATGGCTAGTCCACGAGGCTTTTTTTTTCTGTTAACCTCTTGATTAGTGCTAAGTCACAAACAAATTCAATTATTAAAGGGTTCTTGATGTAGACCGACGTCAATAACAGTTTGCGTAAAGTCAGTTCTTGCTTTCCAATCTGGTTATTTTCCTACCACCTACCGTTTGTTCCTTTTATATTTTATATTTCCTTATCGCAGGGATGTTAAATGCGGCAGCTTCAACTGATATCCACTTGGGTTAAAACACATCTCATTAGTGTCTGTTTTGTTCATAACCGTGTGTGTATGTGTGTGTGTGTGTGTTTAGTGGTGAAGTCTAGTTAACTGCATTTTGTAGTGTAGAAATGGTTTATTAACCCTCAAGCTGTTCACCATTCATACCGTATTCATTGATGAGTTGCTTTTTTATAACTTGTAGGTGAAACGTAGAGGCGATAGTAACGTTCGTTGTACAGTACTGTTAATGCTGGACCACCAACCTCCACAATACAAGTTAGATCCTCGATTAGCTAGGATACTGGCTCTTCATACTGGTACACGTTCACAAATATTCTATGCCTTATGGAACTACATAAAGACGCATAGGTTAGTTTTATTTGTATGTTTACGTAAATTGTGTTTGCAAATATATTTTACGCTATTCACAGGTGTTGTTTGTTTGGAATCCTATTTATTCCTTGTCTGTGCATTTGACCAATTTCATTGTAACCAACATTTCCTTGTATTCCTCTTAAAATATTATCAGCTATAGTTACTTCAACAACTTTATCATAATAACTTCAGAATCGATGAAGTGTGTACCGTTTTTATCCAAATTTTCTGCATCACTACGTTCCGCTTATTCTTAAGTGGCAATTTCTGAGATCATATGTTTATTTACTTAGACAAACTTGGTAGAATATGGGCACTAAGGAATACACCATACAAAATTAATAGAATTACAATATATGGGAAAATTAGAATGATTGAGAAACAGCATCACATAAACAGGCAAGCATACTTATCAAGAGCATTTAAGGAACGTTCATCGATTAATGTCACTTTCAGGAAGAGGAAATCGCCACTGATTACGATTCTCAGCCATATCTGATAACATCTCTAACCATTGATCTGGATTATATCTCACACACCCCACCCAGCGAGTCGTGATGCACCAGCAAATGCTAATTTAACACAACCATCTTCCATCTAGCTGCGCCACGTCGTGACCTGATCACCCCTGCACTTTCTCCGCCCAGTTGTAGGGCTGGCAGATAGTGAACGGTATAGGTGGTGCCAACAACACATTCGTAGAACATATCCAAGTCCGTGCCCTTATGAGAGCAGTGTTTGATCTCATGCGTTAGAGCTTCACGCAGATTATCATACTTACATAACTTACAAGTCAAATTTCAAGTCAGTAAGACGATCGATACTAATGCTAACTGACAATCAATCGCAACCAAGGTCATCATTGGAGACATATATATCACTCATGGAGAATTCAAATAAGTTCATTTCATGTTGGATTCCTCGCTGAAGATGCCTAAAGAGCCAATGAGAGCTTCGCAATCAAACCACCCAGCTCGGACAAAAAAATCACATCAAAAATACTTGCTATCTACCAGAATGAATCGACAGGCGTCAAGAAGTTGCAAAGAACTCTCAAAAACCAAATGATTTTTAGCAAGATATTCTTTTAAATCGCAAGCGGCTTTGCTCACCACTTCCATAGTATCCTGTGAATACAGCTAGTGTTCGTCTTTGCTATTTGGGGAGTGAATAACTAGTCTTAAAAGTAGCCAAGCTTGGTGCTTGCCAGCAGCGACAACAGAAGCAAATACTGCGAGTTTACACAAGTCGTTTATGCTCACATCTAAATCTCAAGATAAACCTGGCGCGCACTAAAGCATGATTTGTATCTGGACATGTGCTACAGATGGTATGGGAATGTTGTATGCCCCCACGGCATAGGTAGCTGATATCAAGATAATCTTGTGTGACAGAGGCAAGATGCCGGATCGTGCCATGATAAAGGCTTTGTGGGAGGTTTGTGCTAGCTTGGAATAGCTAGCGGTCAGCGCGATCTAGTCTCTATTGTTCACCTGAACGACTCTGCTCTAAACGTAGACTTCTGACGTGCGCATTCAAGTCCCCAGCTAGTACCATGATATCTGTTGGACACACGCGCTTGAAAATCTGACTCAGTTGATGACAGAATTTGTCTTTGATTGCATTTGAGCTGATATATATATATGTTCGCAGCACGTGAATGACTGTTAATGGGAATACAGTCAGTGTTACACTGGAACACTGTCTCATTCACAGTAGCCCAAGTATATTCAGTTTTTATCGTCTTCTAGATTCGGGATTTCATTACTAATGTTCATTTAGATATTGTTTATGTCGCAACCAAGTCCGTCATTCGTGGAATCCTTCTTTCCGTGTTGCCTTATTTGGTGAACTTTTACAAAGTATGGTACTTGCAAGTGATCCACCTCTGCGCAAAGGTATATGTTTATTTTTAAGTTCTAGTTTTGAACCCCAGTTCAACTATTAAGATATAGGTTACCAAGAATTATCACCTCCCCTTTTACTCAAAGTTCGCTTAGTGAATACTTAAATTAGAACATTAAAAGAAGAGACGTAGTTGGACACTAAATTGTTGATTTCTCTGGTTATAAGGGTTTTGTCTATTATGTTCATGCGCATCAACTAACTGCTCCACTGAGTGATTTTTTCAATGAAAAGTGACATTAGTATGGAAAGGTAGTTGAATAATATGCTGCCATTTTGCCAGATAGGTTGAAGTAGTTAAAAGTCGAGTATTTTAAAGAATAAAATCAAGACATATGTGAAATATAGCAAAAGTATTCATTCAAACACAAAATAATCGAGCAAAGAGTATTCTTTTCGATAAATTCCTCTTCCAGGCTCTACAGTTATATATAAATGTTTATATACACAGAATATTTTAAATTAGTAGTTAATAACAATATTAGCGTTCTTTATAAATAATATCGATTTGTAAAGTATGATCAATGCTATTACAGTTCATTAAAGATGCTTAAATTATAATAATAATAATAATAATAATAATAATAATAATAAAGATATAACAGCGAATAGAATATCAACTAAAATTAGGGAAATTTCACAAAAATTCTGGATTATTAGAACCTGGATGACCAAGGTAATGATAATGACTGAACTTCTTTTGGGTGCATAAATTAGACTTATTAATATGGATCCCCACAGCCTCAGCAACATTTAGAAGTCGAACTCTTAAAGCGAAATTGAGATTCGTAGGTATGCGGTTAATGACCCTCAAAGCATGATTAACGTCAATCTTGTGTTCTGTTTCCACAAGATGAGCCAGAATAGCGCTGCGAAGAGATTTTGCTTGTCCTTTGCTTAACCAGGCAGGGTGATGTTCGGAAATTCGACGCGAAAAAGAAGTTAGTTCAGTCATTATCATTCATTACCTTGGTCATCCAGGTTCTAATAATCCAGAAGTTTTGTGAAATTTCCCTAATTTTAGTTGATATTCTATTCGCTGTTATATCTTTATTATTATTATTATTATTATTATTATTATTATTATTATAATTTAAGCATCTTTAATGAACTGTAATAGCATTGATCATACTTTACAAATCGATATTATTTATAAAGAACGCTAATATTGTTATTAACTACTAATTTAAAATATTCTGTGTATATAAACATTTATATATAACTGTAGAGCCTGGAAGAGGAATTTATCGAAAAGAATACTCTTTGCTCGATTATTTTGTGTTTTATATATGTGAAATAGCTTTTCTCTCCCTAGTAGTTTATAATTTTTTATCTTTTTACGATCAAAAGTTTATCGAGCTTCATTTCTGAACTGCAGGTTTGTCTTCGTCACTTGTCATCTTTCACCTATCATAATCAGCGCTGTGTGCTTTTACTACTGTGACTATTGTTTGTGAAATATATTGTGCTCATTATATTTTATAGTCATCAAAGACTTGTTTGGCACATTTTCTAGTACCTTACTAAACTTGATTCCCCCTCTTCATGTTCACCCTTTAGACTAACTGTAATACTCTGCGTCTGATGTTTAGATAATTTGAAGTTCACCAGCATTTCACCTATTTAGTAGATGTTGGAATTTGAAATCTCAAAAGTTAAACAATACACCCAGTCAATGCTGTAGAAAGTGATGTTAATGGTCTTTGGTTTTGAAGGTTAAATCAGCATAGCACTTCTTAAAAAAAACTCCACAGACCTTGTGTAAAGTGAGTGTCCTCGGGGCAGTTTACGATGCTTCTTGTTAATAGTACTTATTTATTAGATTACCTGTGTTAGTTTGTCAGTTTTTACGAAAAAAGTGTTAGAAAAAGTTCAGTTAAAAAAAAATATTATTCATATTTGAAAATAACCTTTCAGCAAGTAATTTAAAAGGGACTCACGTGCATTTGTCTGAAGCGTCAGAGGCATGTCATTAGAAAAAATGATTACAATCTGTGGTGGAGAATATCCATACATTTCTACCCAGGTAATCTCCATGGTATCTTACAGTCATTTTATTTTCTGTATTCTTGATTATTTCGTACACTTCCTGGTTGACGTTGATAAATACAACTCTTTCTCTTTTATCATGTTATACAAATAAATCCGTTGAAAAAAAGAAATTCGACTAGCATAATTCCTATTCAAATATCTTTGCCTGTTTTAGATTACAAGACCCCAATGAAAAAGATTTTATCAACTGTGACTCATACTTAGAACAAGTATTTGGCTGTCCACGTATGAGATTTGCTGATATACCAAGTCGTTTGGCTCCATTACAACAGCCACCGGATCCCATAGTTATTAATCACATTATCACAGTTGAGGGTGATGGTCCTAAAACGGCGTGTTATGATATTGAAGTTGAAGTGGTGAGTAAAACTACATTTTTTAAAATATTCTATGAGTATGCCTACTTCGACAAGTGTTTATAGTCTGAAGTGAGAATTTTCAATAGGTAGATATGCAGGTCTGTCTATGGGTATTTTTTTTTTATTCATGATACCGATTGAATTTGCTTCCTTTACACGAAACCTGACATACTTGAATGTATATGGGTTATTGGGTGTTAAAATAATAAGAATCGTGTGCTGTAGGACAAACAGACGAATACATATGAGTTAAAGTGACAGTACATTCAATCCTTTTGCATCTGTAAGTAACAAGTACACTAACGTAATCACTACTTGTGCTCTTAGATTATAATTACTGTGTAAATACTTAAATGTCTATACCAACGCCACTCAGCAGACTAAGTTTCCTGTAACCAGCATCTTGATTTTGTAGTGCGATTCGCCAACTGTTTTTGTCATTGTATTTAATCCACTAGTTGACTGGAAATCTATATTTTGCATATAGTGACCATAGTCTTTCCTCCATGGTTCCAACCTTCTATCCTGAGAGGCAATCAAAGCATGTCTCTTCTCGGAGGTCGTTGCACTTATCTTTTGGGTTTTACAACCTGTTTTCCTAATGAGTCTGAACAGTTATTTTTTTATATACTGCCAACGTTTTTTTTGCCCATTATGGTTCACCATCGTAGCAAAAGCTTTTGGTCAGCTCGCATTTGAGCAGCTTTTGCTCCTTGTTATGTCCGGGACCCACTGGAATCAGTTTTCCTGCATCGCTGACTTCAGATGGAACAAAAAGAATTCACTGACATTTACTAACTGTTGCTTTCAGGTTATCGACAGCCCTTACCACTGTTTCTACAGTTGACTGGATATTGTTCTAGGCTTCTTGGGAATGCGTCGGTGGCACAGTGGTTAGGACTCTCGCCGACCATGCACATGGTCCGGGGTTCGATCCCCTGCCGATGCACACCCGATATCTATGATCGGCCTGCGAAATTTGGGCTACCGATATCCATGCTGAAAATTCGATGCTTGTACTGAAAATACGGTGTGGTATCAAGCTGTAAACAAAATAATAAAATAATAAATAATAATAATAATCTTACTGCCAAAGTCAGGATAGGGTGTACCTTTTCTAACTTCTGTCCTTAGAGCCAAAAGGCAGCATTGCTAGTTTCTTGGTCGTCCGAGAGAAGCATCTAACTGCTGTTACATCCCTGATCGCCAGCAATACGACTTCACTCTCAGACCCCTAACGTAGCGTAAGTGATTTATACTACAATGATGGATCAGCATTTGAACTTGGGATCCACTGAGTGAAAGTTGAATGCTTAAACCAAATGACTGAACCGTGCTATCTCTGTAAAAAGACGTATGACAATCATCCTACTTTTCTAAGAACAATTAATTTCCATAGACTAGTGTGATTCTAAGATTAGTCTATCAAACTTACTTCGTGCTATGAATTTTTCTTGAAAATATCCCAAAATACAGCCCGAAGCGGAATAAAATATATTTGTCGGTTTTTCAACAGTGAAGACAGAAAGACTAAAACGAGACAAAACAGTAGATCTTGGTGGTTCACATTCAGAAGCTTTTAATTATAAAAATGGGGAAACACTCAGTCATCGAAGGTTACTAACCAGTTCGCAGAGAGTCAGAAGTAGTTCCAACCATCTTGTCTAGGTTGTTGATGATCAAATTTTCCTGTAGTAAGCACAACGCAATCAGCTTCACGTCTACAATTTGCAATTTCTTTTGTACTCTCCTTGTTTTTATTCTTTTGCGTTCCCATTCGAGCCTAAGGTTTTAAGCTAGAGCTTTAAAGTTTCAGTGGCACTGGTGTTGTTTTTACGGGGTAGGGTTGCTAACCTCACGCCCAACCTCCTCTCTTTACAGGGATCACTACCGGCCAGGCGAGGTAAAGTAGTAAGCCGGCCGGGGATCAAACCCTGGACAATTAGCGTCGGTTGGTCGGTCGGTTTTCGACATAGAACTTTGCACATATGTGCGCCAGTTCAAGTCGCCACACTCCCTCCATGTAGCACACAAAGCAAGAGAAGAAAGTAGAAGAAATGCATAATATAGTCAGTAAACAGAGGTGTGAGACAAAGGAATAGTAATAACGGAGAACAAAACAGTTTAATTGGAAATCATAAGTCACAAGAAGTGGATGCATCTGCGCCACTGAGAACGATTTTGAGCCATGTCACCAATTGTTTCCAACCATTGGTTTTTACCGTCCCGAGGACCCCTACCAGGAAGTCTACACCTCCCTACGTGGCTTAGACTAACTGTTGTGGATTTCATTGACTGGTGCCTTGTTTTGGTTTGACCGCCACTAGCTCTTTTCCAGCCTGGCCCTATATCAGCTAACATTCCCCGTTGAGGAAGGCGATGACTAGGCATACGTAGCACATGTCCTAACCATCATCTCAGTCGATGTAATTTCACAGTTTCGTCTGTTGATTTCCCCTCCTTACCTAGCACTCGACCGAGGCCTAACCTCAATATTGCTCACCTTATTATACCACTTCACGCGGGAGATAGAACGCAGACACCTATGATCGAAGACAGCTAATCTTTTCATGTCTTCTGCTCTCAATGGCTAGGTGTCACAGCGAGCCATAAAGGAGGACGGAGCGGACTGTTGAGCAGTACACACGCCCTTTGGTTGATAGTCGGATATCATGTCTACGCCAGAGACGGCGTAAACTGGCGTATGCGAACCTAGCCCTCTGTATTCGTGTTGATATTTCGTCAGAGATCAGCCTGTTGGGGCTGATGGTACTTCTGAAGTAAGTGAAGCGGTCAACGTGCTCTACCACTTCACTTCCTATTTCTAATTTAGGGGTCGGTGAAGTCCAATCCTGCAGCATCATCTTACATTTTACAGGAGCGAATCGCATGCCAAACATTCTTAGATTGCAGCTCAAGGTGTTCAGTAGACTCTGCATTTTGTCAGAGTCCTCGCCTAGAAGGACTATATCGTCCACATATTCTAAGTCGACGAGATTATTCCCTGGTAGAAAGTCAATCCCTGAGTCACTGAAGTGTGTTAGGGTTAAGTCCATTAGTATGTCTATGATGAAGTTGAATAGGAATGCTGATAATGGGCATCCTTGACGGACGCCACTAGTCGTCACCACTTCAGATGACAACCCGCCATAAACCCTCACCTGGCTGCATGAGTACGAGTAGAGTGCCTTAATCAGTGCAATGTATTTTCTAGGCATTCCCTTTACAGCCAAGCATCGCCAGAGAACGTCTCGGTCGACAGAATCGAATGCCGCCTTTAGGTCAAGAAATATAATGATTGTCGGACGCCGGTAGGAATGCCTATGTTCTAGAATCTGTCGAAGGGTGAAGATATGATCAATACACCTTCTACCTGGCCTAAAACCTGCCTGGTTTTCTCGTGTTTGCGTGGTTAGCTGGTGTTCTACAACTAAGCTAGTGACACTTCAAATGCTTCTAGATAATAATAAAAAGTAATGAATACATTTTTATCTCTGAAAATTAATGGTTATTCAGCAATCAAGTAGATAATTTCAAGCAACAAATTCTATTAGATTTTTATTGTAATAATACGGTTGAAAATTCATCTTGTCTCAATCTAAATTAAGTTAGTGTGTTTTTGTTTTTCTGAAGACTATCGATAATTAAAAGTAGTAATTTTCATTCAGCAAAGAAAAAATTTGTACTTCAATAATAATTGAAGAGGGAAATTATCTAAAGTTTTGTAAATATAAACAAGCAAGCGAAACGAAACAGGAGTAAATGCCCCTCAGAACTACTTGTGGTTTGGATTTGTGCTAGACAATTAGTGTTCGTTGGGTTCATCTGTCCTCAAATGTAAGACTGCGCCGGTGGCACAGTGGTTAGGACTCTCGCCGATCATGCACATGGTCCGGGGTTCGATCCCCTGCCGACGCACACCCGATATCTATGGTCGGCCTGCAAAATTTGGGCTACCGATATCACATGCTGAAAATGCCATACTTGTACTAAAAATACAGTGTGGCATCAAGCTGTAATCAAAATAAATAAAAAAAAAAAATAAATAAATAAAAAATAAGTTTGTGTCTATCGACGGAATGTTGACTTAACTTTAACTTACAATCTGGAATTGTTTTCTTTTTTCTGCAGGATGACGTATATAAAAGTATGGTACATAGTTATCTAACCAACACACATGCCAACCAAGAGCTATCCGCTATAGACAATAAGGTAAGTTTTTGTTTTATTGTTACCAACTTAATCTTTGTGTTGTAACAAAGCAGATATTAGTTTGTAAGAAAAGACATCTGTTCAAAGTACTCAGTGAGGTTGGTGTTTGTTCCTGTTATTGAATTCTGCATTACATATTTCACAGTAACAACGTTGCTCATAACCCACTTGCCTTTCCATGTCATCGCCAATGAAGTAAGCATATTATGCAAGGGATAATGGTACTGTCCGACTTCCTAAACCTTGATATGTAAAATGGGATTCGAATCTGTAACCTGATGGTTGGAAGATGAGTGCCTGATTTAATGAGCCACAGTTTCACATGAAGCAAAATATTTGAGTCCGTAAACAACCGTCTGAAAGCATATCTGATCGAAAATGAATGTTCATCCGAAATAAATCACAAGGTTTATGTTAGCTAATTTGTCTGTTACCGTAGTCATTGCTATAAAAACAAAAGTTGGTTTTTTACGATTGGTTTGATTTCTCCATTATGGATAAGATTTTATTTTGATAAATCACACAGTGCACATTGATTTGATGATATTAGATAGTTGGAGGCAATCGACAGGAAGCCTCGGACCTAGGTTTCGTGCAAGCCCGAATAACTCAGTGGTAACGTCTCTGACTGCAACACTGGGTGACGCGGGTTCGAATCTCAGAAGGGACATGAGTTGCTTCAAGGTTGCAAGTACGCCTTGCTGACGAATGCCAGCCAGCACGAAATCTAGGTTCAAGGCTTCCTGCTGATTGCCTCCACTTATCGAATATGATCAAATCAATGTGCACCGTGATGGCGAACTACCTAGAATGGTGGCCACATTGCAAACCTGACTGGTAGAATTCAGTCTGCACTAAAGAAAGGACTAGACATATCGCACTAGTTACTAGTGTCTAATCGAAATCACACAGTGATATACAGTAATATTAACCGATGACGTTTCAAGCATAAACTATTGCTCATAATCATATCAAGTTACTCACACCACCTTTTTTTCATTTTATACATAAGTGGAGTTGATTTGATATTGGAATAAAAATCAATATAGGATAATGTACATTCAGAAATAATAGTATGAGTGTTATTGATCAATTACAGTCAGACGGGAAATAAGACGAGTGTTTTTACAGTCAAAATAAGTAACTTGTTCGTATGTTATGGTGTACTTGAATTGAAGTAGAATTTTAAGATTATTTATTATCCTCCACTGGTTTGACTGGTGGTAATGATATCTTCCATACCCCTGGTATTTGCATTGAGTCATTTCTGTTGCATGTGTTGGGTGTAGACTCAATGAACCAGGATTCAGTAATCAATCTCTCTCTCCACCTACATAGATTACTTATTAGAATTTTAACCCTCTCCCACCCTATTGTATGATTGTGTGTTAATGCATGCAGTGCAGTCACTGAGCTTTTTTCTAAATTACTTTTGATTTGATTTCTTTTTATCTATTTGGTAAAATGTTTTGGTGGTTTAGCGATGTGAGTATTCAGTGTACCACTCTGAATTCGTCTTCGATGCTCCTACTTCGTAAGATAATGAATGATACCCACTGTTCATCATACATGTAACTAATACTCAGTCTAATTTCTGCACCTAATGTAGTTGTATTCTAAACATGTAAATGTCTTGCTTTCTATTTACACTTCTCAGAAGTATGACCATTTCAGTGCATTTTTTAAATGTCGATTATATAAGAGTCTCATGTTATGCTGTTGGAAACATCAATTGGTTCTATGATGAGTGTAACATTACATCAATCACACATCATTACGTGAATAGAAAAAAAACTCTACTGACTAATCAAGGAGATCCGAAAGTGATAAGAAACATATAAAGGCACGAAGATTGATTACTTTTCTTGTTGTTTTTTTTTTAGATACACGACCTAGTTGAACAAATCAATCAAATGAAAGTACATCGGGAATTTTACTTAGAATTTAGTCGTGACCCTCAAGCTTTTATATCACGTTGGTTAGCTAGCCAATGCCGTGATTACTGGGTGATGACTGATGCTACACCAGGGCATGCTGAGGTGGAGCGTCATTCAGAGTTTTACAATGCAAACTGGACACAAGAAGCAGTAATGCGTTACTTTTATAATCGAGTAAGTCATCTGTAGAATACATTGAACTGACAAACCTATGCGTAATGTAAAAACAACTTCACCAACACGACTCTTCATATTAAAAAACAGGTTTTTGTTAAACCTACTATCTGGCAACTTCACTGTTTTGGAATAACACAATTTGAACAGCTTTTGAAGGATAGAATGAGTTCATTTTTATTTTATAGGGCTTTTGCGAGCTCCATACAGCCTGAATAATAAAGTATATTAATACCCAATAAGACTTAATTTTGGCATACTTTTGAATAAGTCAGTCCTTTGTTGAATGTATTTTAGAAGGAAAACATTCCACTCTCGTTCCCACTAAACTTGGAGTGGAATTACTACCTTTCATTAAGCATGTAGCAATCTTTGTGATGTCATCATATGGAACGTGTAGTTTGTTGTTTTATTCGACTCAACTAAAACACTGAGAAGATCTATCCACAGAAAATCGACGTGGAACGGACAGCTTACTAACTTTCACAGTTGGGTACCACTATACACCAAACGAAACCTGATCCGTTCACTCAGCTACAGAGTTCGCAGAATTTGCACCCCGGACACCATAGAAGATGAACTGGACAACCTCAAGAGAATCCTCATCGAGAATTGCTATCCAGAAAGATTTATTGCAAAATCTGTGAATCCTAGACCAGAAAAGCCACCCATACTTAGCGTCAAGAAAAAACTACTCTACATGAACCTCCAATTCAATGGAGATTTATCTGCGGAAACACAAAAAAATCGACTGTCGCGCTCACTTAAGAAGACCTTCTTCGCAGCTGAACTACGAATAACCTTCTCCACAAAACCTATGATTCATGTGAACGTGAAGGATAAGCTACCGCTGCTGGCCTCATCAATGTGCATTTATCAATTCACCTGCTCGTGTGGAGCCAGGTATGTCGGCCGTACTCAGCGCTCGCTCTCCAAACGTATCACCGAGCACTTACCAACATGGTTTTACAAAGGAGAAAATCGATGCCCCCGCAGTTCCATCTTAGAACATCTGATAGAATCCGGACACCAAGCTACACCGCAAACAAACTTCAAAGTCGTCTACAGAGTAAGAAGTAGTCTCCCTAAAGGTGTACGAATCAGACTTCTTCAAACTGCAGAAGCAATGGCGATTCACTTGCTAAGTCCTGAACTCTGCATACAGAAGAAGTTCGTTCAATCACTACACTTGCAATGGACGTAATCTATCTTATTAGCCGACATGTAAATTCTACCTAATCTTTTCTTCTGTCTCTTCATTAGTATTATTTTGTCTTCTCAATTGTAACATTTTACATTCTCAACTTTCTTGTTCTCTACCCCCACCCGATTCAATCTCTACACCCCACTACCACTGTTACTGACTTGTACAACGCTCAGTTTCTAGTCATTCATGTTACGTCATCCAACTTATTCACTCAATTTCACTTCTACTTAATCTCTACCTGTAATTAACTCTGTTGCTATCCTGACCTAAGTTGTAATATTTTAGCCAATTATATTACGTCATCTAGTTTTTTAAACTCAGTCTTACTTTAGTTGCTGTCTAATTAACTTTGTCTCTATACTACATCATTCTTGTATTAACTAATCAATTATCTAAACTTGACAAACCTCATGTACACACACACACAAATATTTATATATAAATGCGATTGTACAGCTACGTGAATGAATTCGCCGAAAAGAGTCTTCGCTGAATGTCTTCTCTTTTTCAACTAAAACAGTTTAGCAGTAAACCTCAGCTCCTTTTCTTCTGAGCGGTTTTTGTAAGTGAAAGCTACCAGCCTCCTTATAATTAAGACGCTTAGTATGTAAAGTGGTATTGCCAGTTTTTTCCTGACTTCTACTCAGTGCTTCGCATTTTACTGTATGTGAAACACACTTGTATTTTCTTTCTCTTTATAAATGCTAAATCTAACATTTGTTTATTTTCCAGATATCTCAAAGGCGACAGGATTTGGAGCATGCACTGGGTCTTAACAATAATTAATGCGCAATGACGACGACAACACGCTTTATGCATTTGCTGATTAAAATAAACAGAAATGTGTGTTTTCTGGTTCGACTGTCAGTCAGTAGTAGAGAACTTGTCTCAAATGTCTGTATATCACTACATTGTAGAAATTTTAATTTATAATTTGCTTGTATATGTTTAACATTGTCATCTATTACAATATATTTAATTATATTTCAATAAATCGTACTTAAAAATATAATAATTCAAAGGATCCCCATAGATCAAAACATTTCTTTCGAAACATTCAGTAGATCAGCACAATTCTGTTAGTGAGGAAAGCAAACTTGGTAAATTAAGTCTTTTATGATATCCACAAAATATGAGAACGTGTAGACGGACACTGCTAACCTCACGTCAATAGCACTAACAGTGACATCAGTCGTATCGAATTCTTTACTTCTCGCAAACTATTGATATCTCAAAACGTTGTCAGCTGAGATCACGAAACGTTTGCAGTTGGTCACGCCAGATCAGGCCATGCGTGTACCTAACTAAGGTTACCCTAGAATTTCTTTTATATGAACACATCTTCATTTGAAGTGAACTAAGATCCGAGGCTGGTTTTATGGTGGTGATAAAACTTTTTTTTCAACCAAAAACAATGTAAGCAATTAAAGTGTTTTTCAAAGTCGCGTCTTTGCAGATCTAAGTGATGGCGTCAAACACCAAGTAAAACTACAAATATGATCCGGAGTATCAGTATCTACAGTACTAACACTTGACGACTAAATGACTTTACCTTCTTAAAATTGCGTATAGCCTCAACATTAATTCGTTTGTAGTTTCACATGGACCAAAGGCATCTGGGTTTCTCGGGTGATTTATGTTTAATGTCACACAGACTCGAAGACTTGCAAGCGAAAACCAACAAACTGGCTGAATAAGCAGTTAGAGAAGACAGGACTCCAGGTGAACATAGAGAAGACGAGGTGATGAAGATAACCAACGGACCGCAACAACCAGCACCAATCACCATCGAGCTTCTTTCGCTAACTTACACCGTCTCTGGCGTAGGCGTGACATCCGGCTATCAACCAAGGGAGGTATGTACTACTCAGCAGTTCGCTCTGTCCTTCTCTATGGCGGTGAGACGTGGCCAATACGAGTTGAAGACATGAAAAGGTTGACTGTTTTGATCATAGATGTCTACGGTCTCTTTCTCACGTTAGGCGGTATAATAAGGTAAGTAATGTTGACGTTAGGCATAGAGTGTTGGACAAAGAGGGAAAATCAATCGAAGAGGCTATAAAGTTACATAGATTGAGATGACTAGGTCACGTGTTGCGCATGCCTAACCATCGCCTCACTCGACGGACGGGCATTGCTAGCTGATATAGGTGCAGGTTGGAAAAGAGTAAGTGGTGGCCAAACAAAACATGGCATCAATCTATGAAATCCCTGACAGTTAAACTGAGTCAGATAGGGAGATGCAGACTTCCGGGTTGGGGCCCTCGGGACTCTAAGAATCAATGACTGGAGACACTAGGTGATATGGCTCAAAATCGTTGTCAGGGGCGCAGATGTATTCAGTCTCTGTAGTCTTTCATATTCCCTTCTACCATTACTCATTCTGTTTCACTCTTATACCTGTCAAAACTCTATTGATTCTCTTCACTCATCTTCTTGTCTGCCATTGTGTGCTCTTTGGAACGTGGCAGCTCGAACTGCTGCACTTCGGTGTCAAGCTCTATGTTGAATCCAGCCAGCCATCACCATCGACGTGTGAGATCTGACAGAGGTTACTTCCTTCACTCATCCAGGAAGCATTGTTTCAACCACAGAAGGAACAGATGAAGATGTCAAAGCACGCCAGAATCGGAAATACAAGATACGCCTTCATCAACCCGAAACCAGTTTGGAAGTCTTCTGCACTCCGCCTTAGCATAAAGAGCAATTTTCCGATTTTCAACACAAATGTGAAGTTATTTCTTCTATATGGGTCAGAAACTTGGCCAGTGTGTCACGAAAATGATTTCCAACAGGTTGTAGACTTTTATCAACAGCTGCCTTCGCTAGCTGCATATTGAAGATCAAATGGCTTTCTAGAAAGAGTAAGTAGCAGCAAACTGTGGGGACAAACCAACCAAGGGTCCATTGCTCAACAAATATGTAGGAGAGAATGGAGATGGATTGATCGGGCATACATTGGGGAGACCGTCGAATGACATTGTACGCCAGGCCATCGCTCGAGTGGAATCCCAGTGGGGAAGGGACGAGTGAGTCGTCCGAGGGTGACACGCCGGAGAGATTGTGGGCAATCTTAGTCCAAGCTGAAGAGGATGGCTGGAGATAGGACAAAGTGGAGATGTGTAGTTGAGGCCCTATGTTCCACTCAGAACTCATAGGAATAATAATAATCAATGTATGTTCAAATATAGGTAGTTTCACTGTAACCTCCTTTAGGGGATTAAGCCTCTGGCGTAAGATTGGAAAGTTGGGCTGCTTCTCATTTCACTCAATTTTCTTCAAACAATGCAAGTTAATCAATCTTAAATGAACCTTTAAATGTGTGCTGAGACTTCGCCGGTAATTAGTCTTGTGTGCTGACACATCTTCCTTTATTACTGACCATCCTGTTTAACCATTTCACTGTTAAACATCTAACCTATTAAGTTAGTGCAAAGAAACAAAGTACATGTGAAGTCGTTTTCTGGAAAGTGTATTTCGTCAGTGTCTTCATTCAAGTGCTTTCTTTTCTGCATACTAAAGCCGAGCAGCTCTTTACCGGAAACTAAACCAATTACTGAAGTCTAGCAAAGTCACGAAATGTAGCTCTTATCTGAAGTTACCTTCTAGATTGCTGCTTAAATGTGCCGAAACCAATAATATTAATACTGTATCCCTTTTTCTGCATAAGTCGACAAAATAATGTTTCCGATGGAATGGTGGGATACCTCCTGTTAATGTTTCGTAGCTGACCAGGTTCTTGTTGAACTGGGTTATTCACGAATAGTAACCATATTTATCGTAGCTTATGAAAGCCAGAATTATTAGTTCAAGATTTAGTCTTCACCAGTACGTGATAGGTTTTCAAATCTCTTCACTTGTTGGTTTGTCTGCAAATGCAATAGACTCAAAAAATACCAAACAGCTATGATACGCACTTCATTTTTATGCTGGTCACGACTGACTCATAGACACTGTAAAAGTACTCCTTAAATCTGTTGTCGTATCTCAACATCATCTATGCAAAACAATTTCGTATCAGTTACGGTGTTGTTATGTCATGACTTAATTAAATGAGTTTTAGTTGCTGGTGGTGTCGACGTTTTTCTTCCTATCTCACCAAAAGAGATCTGTATAACCAGACTTCTAGTGGAAGTTTTATGCATGCACTTTTAACCTGAATATTTTTGCCCCATCTAATGACTGCAAAACGAGATAGATGCCTTGATATACGATCGTCGTGACAGATTATCGTTTACCCGTTTCTTCAGTGTACACTGGACCTCATGGTGATGTGACCATGTATGGTCTTTCCTATTATGCGAGGAGACTTCAGGGTCGCAAACGACAGCTTATATTTTGCTCTCTACACTCCACTCTCTCCACTCCTTAGTTTGCCTCCGTCTAGCCTTAACAGTGTCTGACTTCTGCTTCTCTTGTGCCTTCTGGATAGCTTGTTTCCGTTCACCTATACCATCTCGTTATATTCTCCCGTATTTGCCACTGTCGCGTTTTGCGATGCATAAGAAACCTTTTTTTCCTTCCATACAACAGCCGCTACGATTTCTCTGTTGTTCCTTGTATTGAGGCTCGATGCGCTAGTAATACCAATGGCAGGGCAGTCTCACAATCGCCTCCATTTGCTTTCAGCCACTCTTCACTTGTACGATTACTTCTTCCGCTCAAACTATTGATCTGAGGGTAATATTGTGACATTCCTATCCTCTTAATGTCCATCGTCTCCAACATACTCTACACTGTCAAGACATAGGTGGTTATCTGTAACATCTCCGTGATCCTCCGAAATATTTTTAATTACTGCTTCAGTTACTGTTTTAGTGTGTTGGCCTAATTGCTACATAACGCCTGACCCAATAAACCCTATTCAGCATTCGAGGTGTTCGAAATTTGACATAAACACGCATTTGATGTATGCATTATGTTCAGTTACATATTAAATGTGCAGTGATATATTGGTGACGGAGTGTAGTTGAAGAACTTTTTAATTTGCAGTCAGACGATAAATGTTATATTGTAATCCAATGTCTGAACAGCTAACTGTCATGCGTGAAAATACTGCACTCATATACGCAATTGACATTACTGTCTTCATCGATGATTTCCACAACGGATGTTAAAATTGCTAGAGAAATATCTAAGATAATCCAAAACTGTAGACATTGCATGTGGTTTGATTAGCCTTTTGAATTCACTTTCCCCTCAGTCATGTTCATGTAAAGTAGAGGACATTGTAATTCTAAAAATCAAGTACAGTTGTATAATGGACATCGATTTCACTTCCTTGATCCCCCATGAATTTGTGCTTTCACATTCATGGTTTCTGTTATCATAAGATAAGCTGGAAATAACACTTTCACTGGTGATTTATATGTTGCCTAAATAATAATAATAATTTACTTCATTTCAAAAACAGTACTTATAATACAGAATGGAATTCTCAGCATTTGTCACAATAGTGCATCTGATTTACTCAATATATATATATATATATATATATATATATATATATATATATATATATATAATTAAAAATTAAAACAAAATTAATCGGAGGAATTTGTCCACATTTACGACATTATTAGATATAGTAACAATAATAATAATAACAGTGAGTTTGTTTCAAACGGTATTGTCGATTCAGTTTGGGAACTTTAGCATGTTATAGATTATTGGGTCTAATGTTCTGTTGATATAGTATAGTGAGGGGAAATACAAAATTAACAGTTATAATACAGCTTAAAATTATGACCACACTTATGAAAAAATATAAACAAAACGAAAAAATTGAGAGGATTATAAATACAAGAAATACAATAACAATAAAGTATGATGCTTTAAAAGTGAAGGAAATGGTTTATTTAGTGGTGTTAAGAAGGTTAGTTAGTTCATTTCTGACGCTATTCTCATCACATAAAGTACGTGCTAAATATGGTATAGTGGAATTTTTATACTTAGACGTACGTGGATAAATTCTTCTGAAAAGGCTTCTTGTTTTACCTGAGGAGACACAAGGTTCGAGCTGCTGGTAGAGT